ATTTACCACATATAGGAACAAGAATTATCCACGTTTACGGTTTCGGGGACCTCTCACAAAATGAGTTTTTATGTTGAGATATCTCTGTTTTTTTGCTGCAGTATTACATTACTTTCTCTTTACTATTTAAGTAGTATGAGAGAAAGTTATTTGGTTATAGTTAGAAAGTTAAGTTGTTATATATTTGGTATTTACAAAATGGGGATAGAAAATATTCTTTAACAAACGGTGGGATCAATACAACCATTTCATACTCTTACACAGTTATTACTCTTCTTAAACTTATAAATTGTAAAAGTCTTTAAAACGCAAGGATTTCTTTTAAAAATTACATAACTAATATCTGCAACTATTTAGATAACTGCAGTCTTTCAATGACTAGTCTGGAGACTATTTGTTATTCTAAGGCCTTTTAGAAATGTTGAGTATTCAGTGTATCTTATTAGCAGGTAGCATGACAAGAGTGGTCATTAAACATTACCTAGCAAACCCAAATAATGGAGTAGGCAGAATTACTTGATTCAAAAGATGATCAACCAAGAATTTATTTAAACATTGATCAAAATAAGATAAAAGAAATATTAATAGCTCAAGAATGACGATAGCATATCAAAATGAAACCAAATGTATGCTACTTTCAAAAGCCCATCTACTAGTACATCACTTTTAATTGTGGTATGATTAATCAATTGCAGAAGCTCATCAAGAATTTTTCTGTGTGTGTGTGTGTGAGGGGGGGGCATGTGCACACACAAGCACATGGAAGGGGATAACTAGAGGTACAGTTTGCCAATTTGATGTTTTCTTATAAAGAATATCCCTTTATGCTGAATATAAAATGTATTTTAATTCCTTGATTTAAAGTTAATTTAATAATTTTAAATCTCACTTATTTACAATGTTAAAAATCAATATTTTGAATGACTTTTGGTAGTACAGAAAATTAGTTAAATTTGTATTTTTCAATGTATCATTGACTTTTGGGAGGGCTGAACCTCCACCCCCTCCATCAGTGCACCATTGACCAATTGTAAACTTTTAAATAGTAAATACAATTTTAAATCATAAAAAGAAAAAAAAAAAAACACTAATGTCAATCAAGGATTTTGTTTAGTTTCCTTTGATACACTATGCAAATTCTGTGATAGTCCCTTAGTTTCTTTCTGAATACTGAATGTAGCTTTTCTCCTTCACAAATGTCAAGCAGCTGTACAATTTTCATTGTTTTCATCTCAAATAAATAAATATAAAAATTTACCTTTTTAGCTTTTATATTTGAACACAGATCCTATTTTTCAAATACTCCAGTAAAGCAAATGCCTGTGAACCACTCTTCCAGGAAGGCAAACATACACATGGCATTTAATACCAATGCAATTAATACAATGGCAAAAATACATGGATATTTGATATTAAGTGGCTATGTAAAAGGTTGAGATTTATAAATAACACTGTTAATCATGCCTCTTATTCTCTGATTCCGGTTAAGTTGTAGTAATAGCAGATACAAAATGCAACAAATTTCTACAAAACTCTTTTACCTTACAACAGTTTGTTGTTATACTTTTAAAAACAGCTATGTGAAGGAACATCATTTTTACAGAGAGCACATAAAACACAAAAATATCTGTATTTCTATGTATCACACAGATTGATACCACTTTTTGTTTCTTACAATTTATGTGTGATTAAGTTACAATAAAGTTACCAATTCCAAGTATTTTCTTCTCCTGGAATACATGTAACTCATATTCATAAAATGTGCACTTATCTGATTTTGCAGGCATGACAATGATGTACTGTTTCAACCCAAAATCATTTGAATTAGTAAATCCAAATTTGTTCTCAGAATATAAGCAATGGATTGAAGGAACATCACCACTTTTTTTTAACCAATGCAAGGTCAAGAAAATCAGCCTGATGTTATCTTGCCATTTGATGACAAAATGTAAACTTTTGTCATAAAATGGAAAGAGATCACTGTCGTATCCTCAAATTGAAATATTAAAAAATTGTTGCTTATGACCATCTCTCATTGATCCCTTTGTATAGATGACTCAAATCATGTCCATGTATTTACAGTATTCAGCAAGACGTTTCAATTTCTTAATTTAAGACAGTTCTGGGCAAATATATCTAATACTTGAACTAGGCTTCAGTGTACTAATAGTCTTTTCCACTGCGAGAACCAATATCTGAGAAAATTAAATTTTGTTCCACACAGATATTTCTATACCATTTCCGACCATCATATTTGTATTTACAAACTGCAAAATATATATCAATGGTCTACTTGCAAAACCTCATATGTTACTTTTCAATAATTTTTCAGGAGAGCCAAACAACTTTGTGACTCTATAAGCCAGTGAAACATTGAGTACTTTGAATCGCCAATAAAGGCACTACTTTGCCTTCTGAGGGCTTGTCAGTGTGTGCCAGACAGCCAGATGAATCTAACGTCATCAAAATTCCATTTTCAGACTTATCAGGTTTCGCAAGTAGACCATTGATATATAAGTAGTTCTGTAGACCTCACATTTCATAAAATATAATTTTGAATTATATACATGAATTGGCCATACATTTTATGAACAGAATGTTTGATTGATGAAAACTTAACATTTCAGTAGTCAGAAGTCAAATGAAACCATAAATATGTTCTGGGTGGCATCTTAATAATCCAACATTCTGACACCTAATACCCTTTCAACAACCTTTGAGAAGAGGCACAAGAGACCAGGGCTAACCAGAGTTACTCCATCTGAGCACAGCAGTTCGGATCACAAAATTATTGAAGGTAAGTATGCAGGCCATATGTCACCAGATTCACCTGAATTTCCTGACTGTCACAAATTGAGATTCAATCCTGACATTATAAAGCATATCACTAAAATTTGCATACCATTTCATTTGCCAAAATGAACCAGGTTTCCTTCAAATTAAATGAGAAGGTTTCAAAATAAGATAACAAATGTATGTATGTATTTCAGATGTTTGTTCTTAGATCTTTAATATTAGGATTGCACAAAATTTAAATTTATTTGAATTTCTTTTTCAAACTAGAAATTTTAGATTATTTTTATACCCCTCAAAGACTATGCTTAAATGACCTCTGTACTTATACAATAATACTCTAAAATCCTGGGATTACTACAGAATGAGGGTAGAAACCATGGTTCAGTCAGTCATGCCTAACAACATTCTAGACCCTCAGTTTAAACTCTCAAATAAAGTCATAAATTTAATTTTCCTATTATGAATCAGGATAAAAAAGAACACATCTTATAATAAAGATTGTGAGGCCAAGGTAATATACTTAATAAAACAGATCATTAAGAATGTAAAAAGAACGGAGAGTTACTTTGTAATACATCACAATTTCTTTCAGTCAATACAATCATACTACTTTTTAACACTCTAGTTAGACCTGTCTTAGAATATGCAACAATTGTCTGGTTCTCCTATAGTCAAAAATCAATTGACAAATGAGAAAGTCTCTTGCACAGGTTACTGCAGAATCTTGTTTATTAGAAAAACACACCCATCTATTGATTTTGTCACAATTTCTCCAATTTTTATAAATTGTATAAAACTTCATATTTTGGTGACAGAAGAATTATATGTGACCTCATTTTCTTGCATAAAATTGTATCCATTATAATGTTAAGAATTTTTATAGAAAATATTAGACTCTTGGTTCTGCAGAAACCACTAGAAAAGACTTTCTTTGTAGAATGATGTAAAACTGACTATGTTGGGAACGAAACATTCAACAGATCTTTAGCTAACAAGTACTGCAACCAAAAAAGTTGTTTTCAATACTTCTACTTCATGCTTTAGAAAACATGTAAATAACATTGTATTTCATCGCTAATCTGCAGTACTAAGCCACTATTATTTCTTTTTTTTTATATTTTGTTATTTTAATTTTATATATACTTCAAGCAATATGTATACTACACACTTATATTTTCATTATTAAAGGGATATACCATTAAATAAATAAAAAAAGATAGAAATTCTTACACGGCACAGAAACATTGCTTTGACCCCTTCTGTAGCATATGGATAGAGTTTTATTACAATCCATAAATAAGATCATCCTACAAGATTAGTACTGCCATACATTGGGACAACTGACTATGAAAATTTCTAAACAAATTTGTTAAACCATTCCTGCATAAAGACTATATTACACTGCAATGTGACAGCATTGAAGTAATATACAAATTACAACTTAAAATAAAACCCAACTTGAGACTCATTTCCCTTGATGTTAAATGAATGTTTTCGTCCATTCATCATCTAATTATCTTCAATTTGGAAGATTTATTATCTATTCATGAACGAAATATTAAAACACCCTACAGGAAATATTGTAAGCAGTTAGAGCAATTCTTAATAATATGGAGTTTACATTTAATGAAAAATTTTACTATAAAATACTACGAACTCCAATCGGAAGACCATTGAGTTCTTTAGAGGAAACTGTTTAAAGACAATTAGAGCTAGAGATTTTACAATGCATTGCTTATTCCCCATATGACCCAACAGATACTGTCTGAGAAAAATGTAATTTCTTTCATAAAAAGTACAGTTGACAATTGAATTGGAAGCGCATCATACATTCAATTTCCTGAATAAAACAATAATAAAAAATAACTATAGCATCAATACTTGTGGAAATATAAAACCATCTTTTGCTGACCTTTCATGAAACTACTTAACAAAACATCTGAGATCAGTGAAAAAGTCAGTCATACGGAATATTATTGACAGGACAGTGAAGTTGTCTTCTCCTCAATATCGTACTCATATGTCCAAATACTAATCTTAAACAATTATCCTTTGAACATTACATACCAAGAAATGTAAACAAAATTGAATAAATTAAGATGCAGCTGTGTAGCATGCATTGCTACTGATGAGGATGATTTTATTAATTATTTTATTAATATTTGCTTACTCTTTATTCTAACAATTAATGCAACTCTGAAAGAAGTTTTCAAACAACATTTGATCTCAGAATATTAAATGAGTAATAAACACCCCATCTGTAGTAAAAAATTTAACCATTTTACCAAAAGAGGAATCAAGAAATATCTTGTTGTGCAAGATCAATTTGGTCCATGTAAGCAAAACTAAGAAAAATATTAAGAAATGTCCAAATAAGTACAATTCATTGACAGAACATCAGTTAACAGCAGGGTGTGATATCAATTTCAAAGAGACCACAGTGTTAGCCAACAAGAATAAATTCCACACCCTCATTTTGGATACACTGTTAATTAAAAAACCAAACCTTTAAACAAGCAACTAGAATCCAATTTATTGACAAGTGTGTATAATTCAGGTTTAAATAATTTTATTGGCCATTACAATTTCAAAGATTTGATACTTAAGAAATGTTTGCCTTCCAATTCAGTCCAATAATTTTAAAAATTGACTATTCCTTTCCTAGCCTTTCTCTCCTTCTAACCTTTACACACTGCTCCCTCCCAATTTTCCTTCAAATCCCCTCTCCAATTCTACTTCCATGCCAAGGTGCCACAACTGCTGTCTTGATCTACAGAATTTTTGTGCTGAGCTGGAGGCCACTGAAAACTCTGTATCAACCACAAACTTCTTTACAATGTTGTTTTTAACTTTGTTAATTAATGGACTTAAACATGAATTTAAATAAACCATTTTCTTACTTCATAATGAATCGTGACATAATAAAAATATATAAGAAAGTTTTTCAAAGCGAGTCACTGAACGTTTACTGCATGCTCAGAATTTAGAATTAGTTAATTTAATTTCTAAAACAAGATCTTATTCTAGTGCTGTATTATTCTATTTCACAGTATCTGCTGCCTAATGATGGGAATTAACCTTTCCGAAAACATTGCACTATAACATTATTTAAGCATTCAAATAAATCTTAAGTTACTGCTGACTACATGTTTACATAGGTCTAGTTTATATGGTCGTCCCTAAAATTTATGGCCAAAATACCCAAAACTCAAAATTGATCTTAAAATCTTGACATTACAAAATATAAATCCATAAACGTACTAAATTTACAGTAACATCAAGACACACTCATGCCAGATTTGAAGAAAATCAAATAATTTTGCCTGTGAAAATGCATTACAAAAAAAACTCAGATCGGACAAATTAAAACAGGATCTCATTTTGCTCGGTCAATAAATAATTTTTTTTGGCAGTAGTAAAAACGGTTGCTTTTAGGGGAAACAGCGCATGCTAAAGGTCAACTTTTAGAACTAGTGCTAAAAGTGAAACAATCCTCAAATATTCAAATAAAACTAAGAATATAACAAAGAAAACATAATACAGTGAAACCTCTTTATGCCAACCAAGTGATTAGCACCTTAAAATTGGTCTTTTAGAGGAGTGATCTTCTTAAAGAGAACTTTGCACTATTAAACTGCACTCACCACTGCTGCTGTGACTACTACAATAGGTATTGTAACACTATTCTGGTTTCAAATTAATGCTTTATTTTATACTTTGATCACCTGTGTTTATTCATTAATATGATTACAAAAAAAATAGTTCACTGTATTTACGAATTGACCTTCAGGTAATGTGTTATTGAAAGAAGGTGGTCTGATTATTGTAATCCAGGGGTATTGTTTTGCTTCTGTGAAATTATCTTTCAAATTTATAATGCTATAGTTTCTCTACATTTTCTGGAAGGCCTCTCCTTTAGAGTTATCACAAAACATCATGTGCTCAATCAGTGTCCCTTATCTAGAAGTCACCAGTAACAGTTTAGCTCACAGTACTGTCGGGCTTATTATTTCATATGAGGTTTTTTGATCATCTTAAGGGAATGCAATGTTACGTTATGACAAAAATTCATGGTTGTTGGTCTGGAAGCGGGGTAAAATACATTGGTCATATGAAATCATTATTCCATTCCATAGAGTACTGTCCTCGAAAAAGGGTGGTCTTTTTAAAGAAGTTGTCCTGTCAAGTGGATTCATTGTACTTTTATCTGATCAGCTACAACAGATCTTAATATAACATAATATCCAATTAAGTGATTTGTATACTTCAATTAAAATAAAAGGGCAGTCAGTATGGCTGTCTAAAAAAGTATATAACATATATGGTTGAAATAAGTATTTTGCTCTTAGGATTGGGCCAGTCAGCCTATTGGTCTTTTGTGCAACATTTCCTACTTGCAACATACAATGCCACTTGTATAATAAATAGTAATTAGTTATAAGCACCCGTATTATACACTTACAGAAATCATTCCATTGATGGAAGTTCTCAAAACGTTTCTGGGTAAGGAAGTGGTTCAGCATGTAAACCTTATTGGTACAGGGAATTATCAGTTATTCACTAATCAGTTCTAGTAGTAATGAAAATCACATTCAAAAATGAGAGTCCAGAAAATATACTTCTGCAAGTTAGAGCAAAATAATAGAGTTTGCCATCAGTGGAAGAAATTAATTTTAAAAAACAGTTCATCCAGGTTCACTAGAACAGAGACCAACAAATTGTTGTAATTTCTTAAATAAACAAAATATGTTTAAGAAATTATAAAATTATGGAAAGTGGAAGCCAATACTACATTCAACATATATACAGAGAAGAAAACTCTGGGCAAAGAATAGAATTAATGGCATTTATCAACAGTAACAGATTAGCCAAAACTGTATGGGAACATGTGTTGGTAATGATATGAGTTACTACAAAAATATCATGTTATCTAGTGCTCCTAATTTCACAATGCAGGTGTTTTAAAATTATCCACAAAGATTGGATTTGAAGCCTTCATTTAAAAGTACACAAAAAATATTGTTATCAATTATTAAAAGGCCCAGGACATTTAAGTAAAAAGACACAAAGAGAAAAGAGATTCTAAAAGGTAATTCTGAATGCTTTTTAATTATATTTTCCCATTCCCAAACGCATAGCAACTGATTTCATGTGATGCAATTACGAAAAACATGTTTGAGAGTTTAAACCAAATTGAGAACACAATAAAATCAGATACATTCCACTAATATGATTTTATACTTTACACTTCTACATTGTCATCCAAATATTTTCTTTCTCAATGGCCAAATTACAAATTCTTGTTCCCCATTTCACTTACCATATAAGTTTCCTTCACTTTAAAAATTACAAAGTTAAGAGTACACTACTTTGTTGCTGCCTGAGCACTGTATTAATTAAAATGCAGAATGATTTTGAACGAAGGCCGAGCAAAATTGCCTTAGCTCCGGTTCATTCTGTTGCCCCAGCCACGCCGGTGATCATCCTTCCAGTCGTCCCACTCGCGAGCTCGCTCCAAGTTCTCCGGGTCATCCACCTCCTCCTTCCGCTCCTTATCAGCCCTCTCCTCCTCACTGGGGTCAGTTAGCTCCCCTAGTGTGCCCTGAGGAGCCCGATCTTGGAGCGCATTACGGTTCGAAGGCTTGGTTGGGTCAGGAAATCTGGAACACAAGCAAAATGTGAGCTTCATCAGCACATACAACACTAATCAATTTCTATTTTAAAAATGAATTTAAATAAAACAAAATTTGCTTCCAAATCTACTGACATTTAACTCTTCCTTTTTTTTTCTTTTTTATTAGTACAGGAATACAGTTAACATATCTATTCTACAAAAGAAAATAACTTTTCCTCACTATATGTAGTAATATAACAGATTGAGAAAGACTAATAGAATTTTGCATTTTCAATTACTTACAAATAACAAATACTTATTTTAAATATGAAGACAATATGAACACAAGCATACATGGGAAGGACATGGTTCCAAATCAATTATATATCATATTATTGTTAATGGAAAATTGAATGAAAGACACAAAAATATGCAGAGATAGTGAAATGGGCCTAGACCATTGCCTTTTAGAAATCAAACTAAATATCAAAAGAGAACAAAGTTCATATTCTTCAGGAAGAAGAAAGTAGGAAATAAGAGAAAAACTGCACCTAATACAGAGAGAAAGCATCACGATAAAACATTAAAGTGGCAAAACAAAGTTTGGGTTACAGCAATGCTCAAAACAAAATATGGCTAAGAATATTAAATAAAAAACATTGAAAATAATGATACAAAAGAAGACAAAGGCATATCAACAGTACATATAAAAATTAACAGAAAAAACAAATACAAGATACAAATTATTGAGAAACAGGGTAAGGAAACTTTGCACAGAGAGACCAAACAGAAAAATTGGGAAAAGAGGAGTTAAATGAAAAGGAAATTAGAGGACCACAGGGAATGGTATTTAAAACTTTCAGGTCTCTTCAAATACAAATCAGAGGCCAAAAACAAACACCAAGAGCACCAGAAAAACAATGGGTTAAACACTACTCTGAATTACTGAAAGGAAAAGAAATAGAAACCACCATCCTACAAAGATAAAACAAGCTGGAAAAGCAAAGCAATCTTGAATAAATGGATCCTCATTAAAATCCATTTGAAAAAAAAGAACGCCCAGAAGTCCTAAGAAAAGTAAAAATTGAAGAAGCCCAACAATGGACTTAGTAATCACATAAGTGATTAAGTATGGTACATTCCTATTACACAGCCTGATAGTAGAACTATTCAACAAAAATGCTCAATGCTGGACAAGGAGCTTTGAGACGCTTTGCATCCATTAATGGACTAATGATTAAAAGGGTGAAAAAAAAGAAGAGACACCTTTTTGTTATTTTCAGCATCATTAAAAACAAATTTAGCTCCATTTTTAATACACAATAGTTTTAATTACACAAGAGCAAAAACTTCTGGTCATCAAATCAATGCTTATTGCGTCTTTTATTATTAATTCAATTAATGCTGGCACAGGAATACGGGCAGAGATTCACAGACTCAAGAAAATTTGTACATATGCTAAGTAGTAAACAGTGCTTAGGAGAAGAACGATGCAGACTTAGAAAAGGAAAATTCCCTCTTCAAATGATAAGGACAGACAGAGACAAGAACAGGCCAATATTAATTTTATTCATAGACTATGAGAAAATGTATGACTTGAGTCATGAGTCAGGATTTCCATGCATTATCATAAGTAAAAATGGGCATGCAAACATGCACCATCAAGTAGATAAATATGCACAATGCAGGGTAAAAATGAATAAAATGTGCACAATCAAACATTTGTTGACATTTTTGTTGTGATCCTTCTATCCAAACACTAACTCCAAAGAAATTTAAGATTATAAGCAATTTTAATGACTTTAATAGAAGTAAACTTGCTGTTGGTATGTGCAATTTTTCAAACTTTAAATTAATATGCTACATAATGTCAGTGGCAGCAAGACATTGCAAAATTTCAAATATAAAATTAAAAATGCAGCATTCTCATTATCTCCTTTGAATTTAATACTATGGTATTGAAAAACAAGCTAAACCTTCATTAACGGTTCTAGAAAATTTTATTGTAAATAGATATACCATGCATTTCATACAATTTTAAATTTCAAACATTATTAAAAATAAGAAAATATTAAACTTACTCTCCATCCTTAACTTTTTTATCATAAAATTCAGCAACTGTCATAGTAGGAATACTAGGATAACCAGCACCATATACTTTCTTCTGGACTTCATCTCTAGTTATTATAATTGGCATTAAAGGTTTCTTTTCATATCTTCTTACTTTGTCTCTTCTTTCTTGCTTGCCAAATGGGGGATCCTTCTTCACTTTTGCCATATGTGCCAAAAGAGGTTTTTCCACTTTCAGGCATGCCAGTTCATCAAATGATTGATTGATATACATATTAATTGTTGTCAAATAATATTTTCTCTCCACTTCTTCTGGTACATCAGGTAAAGCCATTAATGCCTTTAGATCTTTTAATTTACCCTCTAGTTCTTTCAATTCTTTGAACCGTTGAATTTTCATAGAACGTTCCCGAGCCATTGATGCAAGATCAAATGAGCATGGTCTATGTGGTTGTTCAAAAGGATCTGGCTGATCCTCTGAAGTGTCATCTGGTTCTGGCATTTCAAATTCAGATATTCCATAATCTTTACATCGCTGAAGAAAATCTCTAAAATATACTTCAGCAGTCCTTACAACTTCCATTCTTTCATCAACACATAATTTTAGAATCAATGTTCCTAAAAAAGCAGGTAGAAGAAGGTATTTGACATTGTTTGTAGCAATTTCTTCAACAGATTCATTTCTACTAAAGATTCCAGCTGCAGAAACTAGCCTTGTAGCCTCTTCAAACAAGTTCATTGCCTTTTTAACTTTTGCCTGAATTAATAACAAATATTGAAAAGGTTAAAGAACATCAAATTAAATAAATGAGCAATTAAGTACACTATATTATCACCAACTTACAAAAGTTGACAATGAAGTTAAACATCTTAAAATTTCTTACAGTAATATTATAAGCTAATTCACATATTTACTTATAGAAAATAAGTTGAGTTAAATATGGTTCAATTATTTTGTAAATAAGCCACTACAAAATATACATACCTGTGTTTCAACGCTGTTCGTAGGAGCATCACTATTTGCAATGAAATCGAAAAGGTTAAGACCTTCCTTATAAATGTCTGACAACTTTCTGTTTTCATCATGTACTTCGGTGGATTTCAAGGAAGGATACAACTCCGGTGCGTGCAAACAACACCCTTCAAATTTATTCGTGACGTTTATATCAGAGTTGCTAGGGTCCCTCGAACTTGAATTGCTCGAAGTGACAGTTTCACATTGGCTTGAAGTTTCATCAGCCATAGCGGAAAAATAGTAACACCAAACCAATTTGTCACTGATGTGAGAACACAATCAACTCCAAATCTTGTCAACTTTCTTTCTTAACGGTCTAAAGTCGCTTCAAGTGCACAACAGACCGAACAAAACTAATCAAGCAAGGTCAAGCAACAATGTCGTAGGTTATGTCGACCTAACGCACACATCTCAGTGGCGAAGCTCTGAATTATAATGGTTATTTTGCAGACAAAACTACCGTACAATTTATTTATTCGTGCACATGACGTAAATCAGCTGTTGCAGTTTTATCCAATCGAGAGCTCAATATCGCTGCAGTGACGTCAGTATAGCTTCCAATTAGATGAAACCGTGAACACGTGATTTACGTCAAGTGCATAGCTAATAAAATCCTAGTGTAACTGCTGATAGGCCGAACAATCCTGGAACTGGAACCACATAGTGAACGAATCAACGCATTCAGTGAAACGGTGAACGATCTTCAATCTTCAACTCACTGTATTGCTGTTGCCGCATATTATTAACAGAGCGCTCTGATGTTCTGAATATGTCCTATATTTCAAATAGTAATTACTTTCAAAAACCGTGTAATCCCACGTGCATACAGTTAGTGCAAAAAGTGAGTTGACACTTCGGTCTTTTCTTAATTTAAAAAAAAAATTATTTGACGCAATGCGTCTCTAAGCCCTAGGGGCCGTTGAGCGCTTTGCGCTTGGGAGTTATCTTCCATTAATAATCGCACTAAATATTCGAGTAATCCTCCATTAACATTATCTGTCATTTAATGTCACGTCTCGTCGTAGTCAGTTGTCAAGAGCACCGCCAGGTAGCATCTCCGCTTACGCGCCTCCTGCGTCAGTACCCTGCGGCCAGAATCTGGAAGGAATTAGGATAGAGATAGGGTTTAGGACACTTTACAGGGGTTGGTCTAGTCCCTGGGAAGCATGTAAACTAGTTTTGTCGTAACGAATTTCACATGAAGTCCTACGGGACTCGAACCCGGAACCTCAGTGGTGGAAGACTAGCGACTTCGCCACTGAGCATCATTTATGTTGCATACCTGTGGAAACTGTGCAGTGTAACATCAATAATGATGGAAATTCGAACATATCGTGCAATTAGTTTGCGACGGCATACATGGTTAGAGATTTGGTCCGTTTGGTGCAATTTATTATGTGATAACGCTCACACTGTCTTTCACATTCACTGCATATACATTTGTCATTTGGTTCGTGGAACTCTGTCTGACATATCCGGTGCTGGAACGCGTGCACTGCAAGACGCATAATGCCATGTCTTTGTTTGTACCCCGCCCCCCGCCTCTGTCCATTCTCTATTGATCATCGCATCAGAACAGTAGAAATCTATCCATATTTCTTCCCTCTCTCTCTCTCTCTCTCTCTCTTTTTTTTTTTTTTTTTTTTTTTTTTTTTTTTTTTTTTTTTTTTTAGCACTTCTCTTGCTGCAATGAAGTCTTACATATACCAAAAGGGGAAGTTTTACCATTACATACGCCAGTCTTGACCGCCCATACTTGGACATTCCTATAACTTTTTTTTAAGAAGTTGCTTTTATATTTTCTATCATTTCTAACTCCTTGAGTGTGAGATAGTTCCATATTATTTCTAAACCGTATGTCGATACAGGGAATACTTTGTGTGTAAACAGTTTCATGGCTATTTCATGAGTTAACACCTATCAACGTTAGTGAATATCATATTAATCTCGTCAACAAATTTATTTCTTTATTTTTACAAATATTTTCACAATGCAAAACCAATGCCATTGAATTAATGAAACCAAGAAACTGGGTCGAAATCGGGAGCAAAAATACTTTACACACATACAAGTAAATGTTAAATAATATGAATTACGTTATAGGAATGGGGAAGTAAATGCCCTATGTCATTCTCCGATTTCCTCCACCATCGGCTGCGCCCCTTCGCTGTCTATTTATTTATGCCAAGAACAGTTAAAAACTGTGAGTGACGCGCTATGGGGAGAAGTTAATTTGAAGTTACATAAGTGTAATAAATATATGGGGAAGGAATATTGGAGAATGACATAGGCCGTTTACTTCCCTATTTCTATGACGTAATGTTGGTTGCCGTATAAGCTCTGAAGAGGTAAGTTCGCTGTGGTGAAATGGTTCCGAGGTGGGAATTTACTATTGAAAAATGAAAAGGTGTAATCTGTTGTCACAAAGAGTGTTCATCGATACGGGAGATATCTCGAGGGACTGGAATCCCGAAATTAACGGCACATGTCATGACAGATGTAAATTTATTGGTCTACTTCCTTGAAAAGGCTATTAAATAAGGCTATTTTCAGAAGAAAATTCCTATTCCTTTTTTCCCAAAAGTGAAGGCCCTTGTGATATATAGGTATGATTCTCTTACAGGTCAATAATAATCGTGCATACTTTGAATGCACCTTGCACTTAAAACGTTGTATGTGAATGTACCTGCGATCACAGTTTCGAAAAATATTATTTGCGTTTGCTACAACGCGTCTATAATGTTCAACAATTTGCAGTTCAAACGGCACCTGAAGTTTTTAAAATTATTTTTATCAACTTTATTTTTTCGGTCGCATGAACTGTAAGGTCATTAGCGGTCATTTACCCAATATTTTACAATACCCCGCCCCACTCGCTTCTGTCCGACCTTCTGTCCTCTTCAAAGAGTCGCACTCCAGAAAAAAGCGCAGAACTTTGTTTTCCACCCGGACTCTGCAAGGTACGATCCAGTTTGCTTACGCATCTGGTTTACTCATACTACGTTAACATATTGTGTATCATTTTTGTAAATAATTTGTATAATTTATATTTTATGTATTCCTGTAATTTTTCAGATAACTCTGATGACGCCATTGAAAATATCTTTAAGCTTAAATACGTATTTGATACCGGACATTATATTTTATTTATTTAATAGAAGGTATCTACCTCACCAATAATCGTATTAATTTTACAATTCATCAAACTATTTTATAACTTTTATAAATTTGAAGACATTATAAATGTGACATGTTTCCCTTAGTAATTTGGAAAGACAATTTGGAAGAGAATATGTCGTACGTAGTAGCTCTCAATACATTAGGGAATCTATTCTTCATATTAACATATGATGTTATTGGGATATTACATGATGTATAAAGTGGTGGAGATTCTTCCTTGAAGAGACGTGAGTAAGCCGGCTATGACTCCTATGCGAAAAGTTTTAGTTCAATTTTTTCTCTTCTTATTCGCAGGGAAAGAGCATCATTATGAAAATTATTTCTCCTGATTAGGGGAGGTGACAGGGAAGATTATTCCACGTAGTGTTCCAGTGGAGATTAAGACGTTTATGGACTTCTTTATGTCGTAATGTTACATTATTTTGGGGAGGGAGTTAGGTTGTTGGCTTAGCAGTGAAAAAATAATGTATATTTTCTAATATGCCACATCTTTGTAAATGTTGATGATGCCATGTATAATTCTTTCATTTTTATTTAAATTACTCACCTGCATTATGAAATACTTGCGAATCATCCCGCCGGCACTGCGGCGTTAAATAACTGAGTTTATCGCGCAACAGAAGGGCGCTTCAGCTTAGAAAATCTGAACTTTCAGTACTGTTGACTCTTTCACTACTGTTGAACTTCTCAATTATTATACCTCAAATATTATTATCTCAATTATTATGAATAAAAAAGAAACAACAGATGTTCTTCACCGTCATTTTTATGTATCAAAGAGAGAAAAATAAACAGGCATAGAAAAAGAAAAACTTGAGGAAAACGAAGATAGAATAGGGTTTCAAGCAGTTCAAAGGACAATGATTGGTTGATTTGAATTTAAGGAGACAGCCAATGGAATCGCCAGGGACAGCTAATGTTGTTCGCTATAATTAGGAAAATATTTTTCGTTTCAAAATTGGGGAATTTTGTTGCATTGGAGAGGTTATTTGGGGAAATTCCGAAGTAGTGGTGGGGAAAGAGCTCGAAACGCACCCGGCAATCCCGGCGCTGGGGAAGTAGGTAGCGCTCGCAACACTCGGCTGCAACTGACTAAATATTGAATGCTTTGTGACAGGATCAAGAGGAAATGCAGGAGTGTTTTTAAAATACACGAGCAGAAATATCTCCATTTCAAACAATTTAATTTGGGAACGATCTATTAAATGAAATTTATATTAAGTATTTCTCACAAGTCCAAAATTCATTTCGACTCTCCGATGCCTTGGAGAACCTTCAGTTTTTGGAATTATTGAAGTCCATTCATCATGCGAATTTAAAGAAAGGATATTTACATGTTCATAGATTTTGATATTCGTTTAGTTCTTTGTAATGAAAAGACATCAGACGTTAAATTTTAGGAAATGCCCATTTTATTCTCAAGAACACATTGAAAGGTTTATGGTATATTTGCATGAATCATGTAATATTGACAATTCTGACAAATATTTATTCTTCTTATTTTGAATGAATGTATATGCAGGCATTTAAATCCTCTTTTCATGATATTGATTTATTTTCTGCTAATTTTCGATAATAATAAATGTTTAAATCATTTTCACTTTTACTCTAATCTCAGAAATCGGAATCGAAGTTGTATTTTTGGCCCAGCTCAGACTGAACGTGTCATTTGAGTTTGAATAAGAGATTCTGTATCTAGAGATCAGACATAACCTTTCTTGTTCTTTGCCCGCAATTCTTCACACGCGTTAAAAGGAAGTGTTGGGTCGTAGGTGAGCGGCTCAGCTGAGTATCATGGGTGTGCGCTGAGCTCAGATTCGCAATGCAACTACAACACTCGCGTCTGAGAAGTCGATAACCCCGACTTCTGACATTGATATCTTGCCCTTCCAGATGTTCTTCCTGAAAGATACGTTCCAATAAGTTCCAGTTGCTACAATGTGCAACTCCTGACAAATTGTTATTTTGTCTTTAGATACTCGTATGCATTACTTCAAACATGAAGATCTATTTGATTTGGGACATACAGTTCTTGGTAGAGATGAGCTGATCACGTTAATCTCGGAGCTAATTAATTGAGATTTGAGTAATTAATTTATGCCAAAATTTTGAAGAAAGGAGGTATCCGGGAAAGGCCGAGAACAATCCTTCAGAAAAATTGTGTTTTCGCACAGGGCTGACTTTATCATTGAAATAGAACGAATGTTATCATATAATTCTTCGGGTTAATATTGTTTTCCATTTTGCAAAAAAATGA